GCACTCCAAGGGCCATGAGCCCTGCACCAGCCACTAGTGCACTCTAGACAGGTCCAGTCCCGGATCTGTTTCACTTGTAGTGGTGTGCCATTCATATACTTCATGAGCATCACCACTTCTCCCTCCCGTGATGCGGTGGTGGGCTGAGTTGGTAACGGGAGTTTGCTCAGTGCGTCTGCATTCCCATGTTTTGAGCCCTCATGGAAACCAATGTGTACTCATAAGCTGCCATGATCAATGCCCATCTTTGCATCTTTGCTGCAGCAAGGTGAGGGATGCCCTTGCCCAGGAGGCCCAATAGCGGTTTTTGATCTGTCTCAATGGTGCAGTGTTTACCAAACAATTACTGGTGGAATTTATTGATACTAAAAATGATGGCCAGTGACTCCTTCTCGAGCTGGGAATAGCCCCTTTCTGCTGGCAACAGTGACCTTGACATGTATCCAATTGGTCTGTCTGTGCCATCCGGATAACGATGGGACAACACCGCTCCAATGCCGTAAGATGATTCATCACATGAGAGAGAGAGTGCCTTTGTTTTGTCAAAATGGACCAACAGTTGTTCAGACTGCAGGCACTGTTTTGCTGCCCCATCTCCATGGAACTAGTTTTCTCAAGAGCTCGTGAAGCGGCTCCAGCACACTTGCAATAGCCTTGACTTTGTCAGCCACTGGATGAATCCCTTTGTGGTTGATTCTGTAACCCAGGTATACTACCTCGGACTCCATAAAGACGCATTTGTCTCTCCTCAGACACAGGCCTGTCGCTGAGAGCCTCTCTACCACCAAACCTAGGTTCTGCAAATGACTGGCATTATCGTTCCCGGTCACCAGGATGTCGTCTTATGACCATTTGGGGGAGTCCTTGCAGGAGGTTGTCCATGGTGCGCCGGAATATCCCTGGAGCTGATGACACACTGTAAGGTAGTCTAGTGTACTGAAAAAGGCCACGATGTGTGTTGATGGTGGTGAACTTTTTGGATCCTTCATCCAGTGGTAGCTGCTGATAGGCCTGTGACATGTCCAATTTTGTGAATTTCTGCCCACCCCCCAGCACAGCCAACAAATCCTCTGTTTTTGGAATGGGGTAATTATCCAGTTTAGACACTGGATAATAACATTCACATTACAACACACACATTAGCTAAAAAATAAAATGTCATGCAGCAAATTGCTGGTTCATGCATGATAGAGTGATTGCTGTGTGTGCAGACGCCTGCTGCACGCGCGAGTTTGTGTTCCAATTCCATTAATTGCTGTGATCTTAATGAATGTTAAATTATTTTTGTACCCCTGCACAATGAAATGTTGTTTGTCTTTATATGTTGTATGTATATGCTGACGTTCTCAATAAAGTCAATAAAAAATTTTTTTTTTTAAATTATTGCTGTGATCCGCCTGTGCACGCGCAACTTTCTGTTTAAATTCAAATTCTTTTGATGTGTGACGCTGTGCTTTGATGTGAATCAATACACATGATGTCCGTCCTGACTATATAAAGTGTGCTGGTAACTAAATTAAACATTCAGTTTTCACTCTTGACAAGGGACTTCCAGACCACAGTCAGAAACCATAGCAAGGTAGACATTACTGAAAACATTAAGCAAGATACAGTTTCCACGACAATTACTTACTCTACACTTTACGTTAAGTTTCAAACAAATGGAAGAAAAGCAGAGCTTTGTGAACAGAACATACCAAAATGGACCAAACTGGATTCCAGATGGACAACACTATCACACTTCTTCTGCCCATCGTAATAAAACATTTTCAAAGAATGTCTGTAGCACAGTGGAACATGTTAGCCGAAGGGACTTTGGACTCAGGCACACAAGCTACACTGGCTGATATGACACTCCCTATAGCCATCCTGAGAAATATGCCAGTGTTTCAGGAGCACGTGCACAGGTGTGCATGTCAGGCTGCTTTGAGTACAGTTTTGGAATACTTCAATGCTCCCTGGTAGCATTGCTAGTGCTTTTCAAGTCCCACAGGACAAATGTGAGAGTGCAGAAAAGTTGACAACTCTAATTGAGGGAAGAGTGAATTTTCACAGCCCTGTTGTATCTCAGGTCTTCAGCAGCAGTGTCCCGCCATTAGAGCCTGACCTTTTTGTCCCTAGCTTCATCTCCAACACATCATCATCATGGCAGACAAACAACACAGAGTATGCTCCACACAAAAGCTCTGAATCTCCAGAACAGATCCTGGAAATAGAGGAACCAGAGAGATGTGAACTGCCACAGACTGTAAAATCCGAGATCTCCATCCCCTCAGTGATTGAAGCTGTGACTGACATCCTTGCCAAAAGACACCAGACATTACAGACGAGGCTGAAAATACTGTCCTGTCTTCTAGCACCTCTCAGGAAGCTCCTAATGTAGCATCTGAAATTGTCAAAGCTATATTTGATGACCTGTATTCTCATGACTTGGGAGATGTAGCTAGCAGCGGTGAGAAAAGATGCTCACCAAGACCTCATTTTAATATGGGGTTAATATTTCATAAAGTGAGAGACTTTCTTGTCTCACAGGCTGCACCTTCAGAAGATACCGCCAATGCTGACCAAGCAGTTCGCAAATTTTTTCAAGTTTGCTAAAAAACAGTTTGACAAAATGATGAACGAGCTGAAGCCAACACACGCAGACTTCCTTGTGAGACCCAACACAGATTCTATGTCCTATCAGCCTAAACCCATGGAAGAGGATGACTTTGAAGAATCTATCGATGGCATTTTACCAAGAACTGTTCCTTATTCCCTTTGGCCCAGACGTGCATCTAGTGATCCAACCAGCAACTCGACATTGATCAGCATGAGAGAACAGCAGTTTTCTCAACTACATTTTGAGACCATCAAACATGAAGTTGACAGTTTAATAAATTCAACCTATCAGAGAAAGCTGCAGCAAAATCCAACAAAACACTGGAAGACATCAAATCCAGTGGGGTGATCAGGAAGTTTTCAAATAGCTGACTGATAAAAAATACGGTAATCTGATGGCTGGCCAGACATATAAGATTCCCACGGTCCCAGGGGTGAGAAGTGCCTCTGCCTCTGTCAGGACGAAGGCATATGCCATCACAGTAGACACAGAAGAAAAGTTCTTGCAGCAGCTGCTGCTCTGGATGGAGATGGAGCCATCAAACAAAGAAAGTCACAGCGAGGAAGTGGCAGGTGCATTAACTGACATCAAAGACCTAATAACAACAGTGCTGATCCCACCACCAGAAAATGCCATTATCAGGCTGGAGTGCCCTAAAGCCAGCAACAGACAGACTTCAAAAATATCATCAATTAATGATGCTGAAGTATCTGCATCTGTCTGCATGGATTTTGAAAAAAAAAAACCCCAACATCAGTATCTCAGAAAATTAGAATACTGTGAAAAGGTTCTATTTTGAAGACACCTGGTGCCACACTCTAATCAGCTAATTAACTCAAAACACCTGCAAAGGCCTTCAAATGGTCTCTCAGTCTAGTTCTGTAGGCTACACAATCATGGGGAAGACTGCTGACTTGACAGCTGTCCAAAAGACGACCATTGACACCTTGCACAAGGAGGGCAAGACACAAAAGGTCATTGCTAAAGAGGCTGGCTGTTCACAGAGCTCTGTGTCCAAACACATTAATAGAGAGGCGAAGGGAAGGAAAAGATGTGGTAGAAAAAAGTGTACAAGAAATAGGGATAACCGCACCCTGGAGAGGATTGTGAAACAAAACCCATTCAAAAATGTGGGGGAGATTCACAGAGAGTGGACTGCAGCTGGAGTCGGTGCTTCAAGAACCACCACGCACAGACATATGCAAGACATGGCTTTCAGCTGTTGCATTCCTTGTGTCAAGCCACTCTTGAACAAGACGCAGCGTCAGAAGCGTCTCACCTGGGCTAAAGACAAAAAGGACTGGACTGCTGCTGAGTGGTCCAAAGTTATGTTCTCTGATGAAAGTAAATTTTGCATTTCCTTTGGAAATCAAGGTCCCAGAGTCTGGAGGAAGAGAGGAGAGGAACAGAATCCACGTTGCTTAAAGTCCAGTGTAAAGTTTCCACAGTCAGTGATGGTTTGGGGTGCCATGTCATCTGCTGGTGTTGCTCCACTGTGTTCTCTGAGGTCCAAGGTCAACGCAGCCATCTACCAGAAGGTTTTAGAGCACCTCATGCTTCCTGCTGCTGACCAACTTTATGGAGATGCAGATTTCATTTTCCAACAGGACTTGGCACCTGCGCACAGTGCCAAAGCTACCAGTACCTGGTTTAAGGACCATGGTATCCCTGTTCTTAATTGGCCAGCAAACTCTCCTGACCTTAACCCTATAGAAAATCTATGGGGTATTGTGAAGAGGAAGATGCGATATGCCAGACCCAACAATGCAGAAGAGCTGAAGGCCACTATCAGATCAACCTGGGCTCTCCTAACACCTGAGCAGTGCCACAGACTGATAGACTCCATGCCACGCCGCATTGCTGCAGTAATTCGGGCAAAAGGAGCCCCAACTAAGTATTGAGTGCTGTACATGCTCATACTTTTCAGTTGGCCAACATTTCTAAAAATCCATTTTTTGTATTGGTCTTAACATTTTAATTTTTGGAGATACTGAATTTGGGATTTTTATTAGTTGTCAGTTTTAATCATCACAATTAAATTAAACATTTGAAATATCAGTCTGTGTGTAATGAATGAATATAATATCCAAGTTTCACTTTTTGAATGGAATTACTGAAATAAATCAACTTTTTGATGATATTCTAATTATATGACCAGCACCTGTACTCCAGTGCTTTACGATAATCAGGTGTCACACTCAGAAGGTGGGGATATGGCCGCAGTGTCAAATGATTACTCTTCTTCTACATCAGAGTATATGACCAGCAAACTCATCACTGACCTGCTCATGACGCTTGTCACAAAGGCTCCTTTGAAAACCAAAAGGTCCGTGCAGATGGCAGACATCAACGCCATCATCAAGCGTCTGTCAGACAAGGTAGTGGATGAGATCAATATCACTGGCCCTGTTGTTCGAAAAACCAAGAACTGCATGACAAAAATCAACAAAGCTATGATTAAAGACCTTGACCAGGAGTTTGGCTCTCCAAAAACAATACTGGAGGCTGCAATAACATCAAACAGTACATCTTTTGATGATGCTGTTGTGAAGTATCTGAAAATCCATATAAATGCCCTCCTCAATTCACCCCCAAAGAAGTCCGCAGTTGGCAGGTTCTTTTCAGCAGTGGGAAAAGCTGCAAGCACAACCTTCATGTGGTTGTCCAGTAGCTTAAACCTCACCTGTGTCACTCTGACCTGACCTGTCAACAGACCTTTCTCATAGCGGCCATTTTGACGTACAGCAGCAGTTCTGTTCTGTTTCTGATGGCAGATGGCACCTTAGCCTCTGCCTCAGTGTGTGAATGGGGTAAATGTGATGTAGTGTAAAAGTGCTTTTAGTGGTGGTTGTCCGCTGTGAGAAACGTTCAGTGCCGCATGTCAGCTCAGTGTTCAACACTGTGGCCTAGCAGCAAAAATCAGGGTTGGATTCCCAGCCTTGATCTTTGCGGTATGGAGTTTCTATACTCCCCGTGTTGGCATGGGTTTTCTGTGGTTGCTGCAGTTTCCTCCCACATTTCAAAAAAAAAAAAAAAAACATAAAATCAACAAAATAAATAATTTAAAAAAAATCTAAAATAATGTTTGATTTTGGTCGTGTTTTCTACTGCTATCAGATTGGTTGAATCTGAATTTTTTTGCATTGAGTGCATGTGTAATTTTCAGCTCAATACAACAAAATGAGCTTCACAATAGAACAGTTTTTCTCAAACGTTTTCATTTCAAAGACCCCTAAACTGCCACAAATTAGACCACGGATCCCCATTTTGATAAGATTTTCCCCCATCTGAAAGGATTTTTGATTTTAGATGTTTTATTACAGAAATTGTATAAGTCCCAAACAGTCAAACATTCTGTCATTGGGTTTTTTATGGATGGAATAATAGTGAAAATAAATATAACTTTAATTATCGTCCCCAGTCTCATCTATTGTTACGACTACAATTAGGCCCATGAAAGCGGCTTGACTGTCTCTTTAGATAAAACGTTTTTATTCTTCCTGTGCACCTAAATGCAATCAGAGTCCGAAGATGTTCTCACTTACACATGAAACACGCATTGATGTCGGCATACAGCATTACTATCCTAACGTTTTGAACATGCAGCATTATTTAACTAATCTCTTCTCCCTTACAGGACGTGGCGACGCAACTCAGACAGCTGCAGGACGAGCTGCTGAGGTTAAAGAATAGGATGAACTACCTGCTTCCAGCAGCAGACACTTTGCCCAACTTCGCTCTGGAGTCTCAAGACATCTAAATCATCTTTGCCATTTTCATTTGTCAGATTGTAATTCACACTTGCTTTTTAGTGTATGGATTGCTTTCTTATTTTCTTTGTGTGTGCTTTTGTGTGCAAGGGCCAGTGTTTTATTCCAGCTATCCTCTAACTAGCAGACACAAGAGGCAGGACAGATATTTTTTGGGGAAGCCTATCTGGCAACCACCTGTGAGCCCAAGGACTGTTATTCAGGTAGGAACTACAAACACAAAACAGATTGCCCTATGATCATAGCTGATATTGGTTTACTGTCTATTCTTTTTTATACATACAACATCCTAAACTCTCTGTTTCAATCTATCTTTCCTCAGGTACACTCCCCCCTGGTCCTGGAAGCTGCTGGGTCTTTGAAGGTGGGCATGGACATTTAGACATCGCCCTGTCCCACCCAGTCGCCAAAAAAACAAAGGTGTCTTCAACTTTGTGAAGCTGAAAGTCGACAGCAACTGGGGCCATCCTGACCACTAGTGTCTGTACTTCTTCAGGGTCCATGGGAAGCTTGCAGGCTGAAGACTGAAATAAAGGAGAAGACAGAAGACCACCATCTGGGTGCAGAGCAGTGAATAAGTATATAAAGAGAGGTGAGTATATGTGAAGGGGAATCAGACCCCACACGTCTAAAATATTAACAAATGTTTTTTGTTCATTTTTATGGGTGGGAAACCAGTAAGGTGTGATGCACTCCTACCGGTTGGGTGGGGCACCTGTGCAGAGGTGGTGAACCTTGGTAACAGTGAACTCTCTTCTCTGCCAGGTGAAAATAAGCTGAAGGAGGCTCCATGTGGATCAGAGGAGATACGTGGCTGTCTACACCGCAAATTTTCTGTCCAATTTCTGCAACACAAGCCGTAATCTCCTCTACATGTGCCCAGATGTTTTCAGTCTGATTCACTGTCACTGTGGACTGCACGAGATAGACTGGTGTTCAGTTCTGGCTCTGATTCTCTCTCTGTGTAGTTTGTGTATTCTCTCCGTGTATGTGTGGGTTTTCTCCGGGCTCCAGTTTCATCCCACACTACAAAGACATGCAGATTAGGTTAATTGGATGTATGCATTATTTAAACAATAAAGACTTTTTTATTTACTACATGTTTTTAATAATGTTTCTGCTTGTTTTGTTATTTATTTGAAATCCTTAATATATATAAAACATCATAATAACATCATTCCTCCATCTTACAAAAGCACACCAGGGTGGAAAAAGAAATATCTGTAATATAATATATCTGTATCTGTAATGTAATATATGTAAGAGACAGTAGTAGCCTAATGCGTTATTTAAGGTTAATGCGTCACAGCAAAAAGCAATACATGACTGTAATTGCGTTACATTTATAACGCATTACTCCCATCACTGGTTCTAAGGCAGAAGAAACTTTCTTTCTAGATTACCAAGCCATTAAGATTCTAGTTAACTAACATCAGCTAATAAATATCAGAAAATTACTATTAAAGTTATAAATCCATGTGTTAGCAAGCATTAGCTAATGCACACCGGCTATCCATCTAGGAAAAGTATTTTCAAATCCAAAGTGAGTTCAACGTTAGTTTGGCTACACAAATGTGTTGTCTCGCTAAAAATAATCAACTCACCACAAAGGAGGATGTTTTCCGGTGTTCTGACGATATATGCTGCCTTGTCGAAAAATGCTACCGCAGCGCAAATCGATAGCAGAGTCTATCGAGTCACTCTGCCCTATCAAAAAATACTACCTTATGTGTTTCCTTTTCTAATCCCATAAAGTTATAACTCTCACATTATTATGACATCTTCTGTTTTTGATTATATTATAACATCATTTCAGGGGTAGCGTATTCTGACTAATATCCCCTACAAATAATGCTCCCACTACAGAATCATTTTATATTGCACCACTACTCACTCCATGTGTACTGTAAGGAGAGGGGGAACATGTTGAAATACTGTCTTAATTATGGCATCTTTATTTAAGATATCAGGGGTAGCGTATTCTGATAGACCAATAATGATTATTTTCGATATTGCTGACGATCAGCCACTGTCTCGACGCATGCCCAACAAGCAAGGTTGCACAGATTTATGGCTGTGGAAACAGACCACTAAGTAGCACATCTCAATAGGTAACATAAATCGACAGAACACCGGCAGCATCTGCATCTGTCCTCTCCTGCTAAGTTAGCGCTTGGCAGGCACATCTCTCTTCACATTTAAGTTGTGCGTGGGAGCTGGCCAGATATTCTTCTCTTCTGTGCTTCTTTTTTTATTATGTATATGGTGTCCACCTTTGCTATGTACCAGTCGGGAAAGTAAAACAAAGTAAACCTGGGAAACAACATGATTTTCTGGCCAAAATTAGCTACCCTCTCAACACTACGTTACACAGTAACCTGACCGTGAGATACTTTCATGTAGCGGCATTTCACGCAGTATGATTAGGGCGCCTTTGAGAACCTTGATTCTGATTGGTCAAATTGAATGCACTGTGCTAGTGGGCTGGGCCAGAGGGCAGACTTCGCCCCTGTGTACACATGTGTTTACTGTTTACAAACAGTGTAACTACATTATGATTTAAAGTATGCTTATTACTTTACAGTTTGTTTGTTATGTTAAGGACGTGTACTGCTACCATCTTGGCCAGGTCACCCAGGGGTCTCTGATCTCAACTGGCAATTTACCTGGTTAAATACAATTTTAATAAAAAAAGAGAATAAAAGAAAAAAGTGTAAGCTATATAAGAGATACTATGCTTTTGAAAAATATACTAAAACGGTATAAAAATGTTTTAAAAATCAGGCACAAAATATTTGGCAATTACATAAATATTTTAAATATATTGTAGTACATTGTAGCATAATTGGCATGAATATATTTTTAACCCACTACAAGTTTAATTGTTTAACAATATACTTGCACAAAGTAAACCTAAATAGTATTTACTTAGAGTGGTCCAAATATATTTTTTATAAATAGACTTACATGTGAAAAATATGCTTATATTTAAGCATATTCATTAAAAGTTTAATTAAGCATTTATTTATTACCAATTTATTCAAAATATACTTTTGTATATGTATGTTAAAACTCAAGGGAATATATCTTTAATACACCTGTAGTAAGAAGTATGAATGTACTGTAAGCACACTATGTAAATTTCTTGTACATTTTCAATGCCTTTAAGAGCACTTCTTTTCGACCTGGGCGATTCTGATGAGTTCTGTTTCACAAATCATTTTCTGGATTTTTCCCTAATCTGAAATATTGGATAATTGGAGTTATTAAAATAAAACCATCTGAGACTTTGAGACCGGAAATCTCACTTTGGTGGAACTGCTAAGAACTCAGACATCTGAAATGTGATAAAGGGTCTGAACTACATGATGAACTACATTTGTTGTAAAGGGTCAAAAGTCAGAAAGATAAGGAACAACTTTAAAGCTTTACAAATGTGTTGTTTTTCATTAACTTATCACATTGACTGTAAATAAAGACATGATTTTGAAAAATGTTAATCTGAAACATGCATACATACTATAATTCTCACTGGGTCAACATACGGTATTAACTACTTGTGAACTCTCAGAAAGCATGGTATGGAAGTATAGATGAAGAGGTCAGGTGATTGAAGTGATTGATAGTTTTATCCTTGAAATTGTTTATTTGGTGACTAAAGTGTGTTTTTCTGAAAACCTGAAACATGATACTGTAAGCTAAATACAGTAGCAAGCTTACTTGTATTGTAGTTGATATAGTAAAATTATAGTTTAGTAAAATTATAGCCTTTCACTGTTGTGTAATCAGCACTCTAATATATTAGCACAGTGCTCCCTAGCCAAAGCATTCAGAATTGTTTTTCCTGTTTGGACTTGATTTAGCTAATTGATAACCTGTTTCTGAACTTATTTCTAAACCAAGACAAAGTAAAGTAAACTGCCTTTTTGCCTTACCTGTTCTGCCTATTCATCCCACTTTTGCTTTCACACATTTCTCAGATTTATTCAGCGCAAGCTTATCAGTTTCAAGAAAATGCAACATCAAACTTAGAATGGAATCAATCCTCAATCAATAAAACTTCAGTATTGAGTCAATATGTTAGATTGGGCAGGCCAAGTTCAAATCTTGGCCAACTTACACTGGAAAGCACTGAAGTCAACGGTAGACACATTTTCAGTTATGTGTCCTATAGAAAACCAAACTCAAAAAGTTGTATCTTCAAAACTAATTTATTTCAGGTTTAAAAGTAAATGACACCATTTCCAATACATAACCTCTCCTGCATTACATTTAGGGTATGTCTGCTTATTGACAAAACAGAGAAAAGGATTCAAATCAAGTCTTAAAGAACGTTTTGATAGTGCCGTGTTGATGTTGTGCATAATTATCTCCACAGAACATCCACTGATACTGAAATACAAATTATGAAAATGATGGGGCTAATTGCCTTTTTACACTGTCTCTCAATTTTTTTCCCCTTCTGTTTTCTCTTCAGTTTGAGCTGCTGGATCGCCGGCTGTCTCTTCTGGACAAAGCTCCTTGGTAGGATCCATCACAGCAGGTGGAGGCATATTCAGACACTTCACCTGAGCGCTGAACTCCTCCATCTCCTTCTGCTCCAACTGTCTCCTCCTGCTGAACAGGTACAAATGCAGCCGCTTCCCCGACTCCACGTTCATGCGCATCAGCATGCAGTCATGGCAAGATGTACGGACGAAGTCTGCGCTGATGTTGCTTTTAGGCGTCCCATCATAGGTGAAACTGCTGCCTTCCAGGGAGATGTTGTAGGAACTGTACAGGCACTTGTTATCTAAACGGATGCTGCGAGTGTAGGAAATGTTGGTGTCACTGGTGTTGCTGGAGAAGTTTATAGTGGCACTGTCTCTTTGTTTGAAACGCTCCAGATATGGTAGATGGCTCAGACTGCCTGCAACCAAAGCCCATCTTCCCTCCAAATGACCAAGATTCAGTTGATCCAAAGGCCGGACCAAGTGCTCACATGCCAGAGGAGCTGAGTGGCTCACAGACATCAGGCAGAGAATGGTTGCAAATAAGGTAAACATGTCTCTGGATGTCTATTGTCTTGCTGTTGGGATTTTGTCTCAGTTGCTCTGCCGTGTCTAAGTGAAAATGTGTCCAGTAAAGAGGCGTTGAAGGTTTTATAGTTGTTTCAGAAGCCTCCAGTTTCACAATATTGAAAATACCACAACAGATAGTCCCTCATCCACCTGTGGATTTTGTGATTGCGAAATTAAATAATATTATGAGTACTGTCTGTAACTATTGATTGTTTACTGCGGACTTTTACTTGTTGGCTCTCTCTTTTTTTTCTTCATGTTGAGCTGTCTGAGAAAGTGCTCTGAGAATGAAGGACTTCCCTGAATGAGTATATGAATATAGTAATGAATATATTAAAATAACAAAAACGTTTATATTGTTCATGCATAGAGGCAGTGGTATTGATTTTTACTCTTTGTTGTACCGCAGGACCAAATACTTAATATGATCAGCAACTTCCCATTTGCAACACTGTTGATTCCAGAGTCCACCTGTCGATTTTGTGATTGTGAAATGACAGAATGTTTTGAGAAACCACAACAAAATCTGTGAAGATTCTCAGTCATCCAGTTCATAGTACTCAGACCCTTCACCCACGTAATTCCAGTACAACAGTGTCAACAATATCTGTTACAGGTAAAGGTTCTCCATTCAAAATACTACTTTAACTTTAACTACTTTATATACAGTTTAGTCCAGTGAATAACAAGGTTAGGGTCAGGTCCCCAAACAGTCACAAGATAAATTTGAGGAGTCATGATATGATTTATGGGGCAATGAGGAAAAACAAGCTATGTAATATTATTATAATTATTATATTATTGTTATACAAAGTGATTCACAAATCATTTTCTGGATTTTTCCCTAATCTGAAATATTGGATAATTTGAATTATTAAAATAAAACCATCTGAGAAGTTGAGATGGGAAATCTCACTTTGGTGGAACTGCTAAGAACTCAGACATCTGAAATGTGACAAAGGGTCTGAACTACATGATGTTTTGTTTTAAAGGGTCAAAAGTCAACAATATTAGGAACAAATGTAAGACATTCACGACTACAACAAAAGCATGT